TTTGAATTTCCATTTTTTATGATTCCTGGCATTATAACGGTGTGAAAGTTTTCTCTACTGCTAGCTGTGGTTGTTCTGTTTCCATTGAGGTGCAGGACTTTATACTGCAGTGAAAAATGAGCCCACTGTAAGTAAAAATATGACAGGAGAAGCACAAAAACCACCCAGAAACTGCTTTGGGGTTCCAGCTTACTCACGAATCGCTCAGAACTCTTCACCTTGTACAGTTTGAATGTTATGCCCAACTCTTACTGTAGCTTGAAATGTCATTAGAATGAAAATCTGTTAAATGTGACTCATAGACACCGTGTATGTTGGTGGCTGTACTCGGTGCAGGTACTCTGCTCTTTGAGGGGAGACCTCTCATGAAACCACAGCCTCACATCTGTTCTGCTAAAGTGCATAACTCATCCAAGATGAAGCCGATTTTTAAACAGGGCAGAGGAGCAAGTCGTCCCATCTGTGCAGGCTTTTAGCAATTACGGAAACATGTAACTATAAATTCCTGGAGGGTCCTTCCTCCAAATTTTCTGTGATCTTAGAATACATCAGAAAACGGGAAAAGCAAGGTCAGATCTGTTTGGATGAAAATGTGCGTGCAGAGCGAGTCGAACGCAAAAGTGTTTCACTTACCTGCCTTACCTGTGCAAGAAACCCCGTGTTTGTGCTCCTGTCACATTTTTACACACTGTAAATTATAAAGTCCTGCACCTGTATGGAAACAGAACAGCCATGAGGAAGTAGAGGAAGCTCATCTGTGCAGTTTGACACAGTTATAGCACCATAAATCATTAAAAAGGGAAGAAACGAAAGCTGCATGTGTTTGATTATTTATTTTACAAAAAAAGGACGGAAAAAAAAACTTGGAGTCAACATGTGCACCATTTTCCAAAGTGCCCAAAGGTGCCACCAATACTTCAAAAAGACATTTTACTACTTACCTCTTCAAACTTAATTTTTCTCTGCTCTGCACACCAGCTGTACAGAGATGTTTCACCATGCTGAATGTATCTTCAACAACTCGCTCCTCTGTTCACTGTTTGTGAGCCATGCTGCATTTATTTTATTGATCCAGCATGTTGGATTTTCTTTTTTAGATAACATTTAGATATTTTACTTTTTACACCTTTAGTTGACTTGGCCTGCAGTTCAACCTACTGAAGCTGGGAAGTCATTGAATTTTTGTTACATGACTTTTAATCTCACATTAGGCACTAATGGCTTCCTGGTTGCACTGAATAACACAGAATTTTTTGTTTTTAACAGAATGTAATGATAGTAAACGGTATGTTTTTGGCGAATTTTCAAAACATATTGTCAATTTGATTATATGATACAAATAGTTTCCCAACTGAACAGTACGGCACAGATGAGTAGTTCAAGAACCGTAGAAAAAATGGATTTTTTATAGTTTCTTGCTCTAATAAATGGTGTAACTTTGTTGGGTTTTGGGGTTCAGGAAGTTGGCACAGATTTCGTTCACTATGTAGTGTTCAAACTTGAAAGATGTCTTGATTTGCTTCATTGACAAAGTTTCTCGTGACTCATGCAACGCCCTGTTTTGTGTTTTCCCAACAGAAGCGCCGTACTGGACCCGACCCGACCGGATGGACAAGAAGCTGCTGGCGGTTCCTGCAGCCAACACGGTCAAGTTCCGCTGTGCCGCCTCCGGAAACCCGACGCCGAGCATCCACTGGCTGAAGAACGGCAAAGAGTTCAAGGGAGAGCAGAGGATGGGCGGCATCAAGGTGAGAGGAATAACATGTTAACACCTAAAGGTTAAAGGAGCTCGGCCGTGATTTATGGATTCCCATCTTCACACCAGCGCCAAAAAGCTCTGCCCGGAGGAGGTCATGTTCTGCTCCGCTCGAGCTGCTACCGGGTGCCTTTTAGCAAGGCATTTTAATCCCCCCTGCTAGTCCGACAGAGCTGCCGTAGATCGCTGCGATGCTCCCCGGCGTGAAAAAGTCTATAAGTGGAAGAGCGTGAAGCGGAGTGCTGAAAGAGACTCATGCTCGGTGAATCTTCTCACGATAAATAAAGGTCAGAAAACACCTCTCAGCCTCGGCTAAATAAATCCAAACTGCTGCGCCGGAATCGGAGCGGCGCGCAGATACGTGCATGCTCGCGTGATAGCCCGGCGTTGACAGTAACGCAGCGCCGCAAACAGCTGCTGTGTTCGGTTTTGTCATCGGGGTTCACTCTAAACACCGGGCTCTCGGGCGGAATGGCACTGCTTAAAGTAACAGCGCTTGGTTTACTTTCTCCTCTAATGGCCCCCGAGCTGCGGGATTAAAAGACGAGCGCGGTGCGGTAACGGCATCGGAATCCAAACAGTCAAAACGTGTGTTTTGGTTCAAAATAAACTCCAACTTAATGGCACATAAATTCTAAAATCGTGCCCGGGGATGTGAATTCTTGGAGGATCGCTCGGGCCCTGTGTCTTATTCTTCTCTCCTCCTCAGCCCTCGCACTGCTCTTACAAAGTGATGGTGACTGGAAACAGTTGACTCATAAAGATTTTTACAGCCTCATACTTTTGTCCCATATTTTCATATTTTCCTCGTAGCGGTGAATTGTTGTGCGAGCCGACGCTACCTTGACAAGTTTCTTTATTGCTTTTAAATTAGTCTGACTCACTGGATGTAAGCTGTGGTTATAAAGCCTGCTGCTGCTGTTTCTGTATTTCAGTTGGTTTTCTCCTCTGCTGCTATCTGTGTGTGTTAGCATTTTCAAAATCCCATTTGCTACAGGGACCCAACAGATCAAGCAATGAGGCAGAACTGCTTTATATATATTTTGATCGACAGCACTCGCCTTCCTGCGTCCAAATGTTCCACCAAAACAATTCCCCATGTTTTGTTTTTTTTCTGTAGGGGCACCATCACTACATCCTGGGCTAACCAGCGCTCACCACACAATTATGATTGGTTTAAAAACAAACAAATACGCCTGATAATTTTGTTTACCCGTATAGCAGAATGACACTCAGGTGCAGCAGACTATTTCACTGTGAAAAAAGGTCCGACTATGAAAACCTACGACAAAATTGACTACATTTAGAGTTAATTTTAATTTCCTGAAATGCAATCAAGTGCAGATGTTGTAGAGCTTAATTTACACAAAGTTTTCGAGCTGTAGACTGCATGCAAAAACTAAACTTTGGGCCTTAAATGTAAAAGCAAACACTCAAGTAATTTAAAACCTGCATAATTTTTAGCAGCCAGCAGAGGGCAACTCCTATTTCGAGTGTAATTGTATAGAAGTCTAAAAGAAAATGGCCCAACTTCGTCTTTGATCTGCCACCTCGGTAAACATCTTCCTACAAAGCTTACAGTCTCTATTGCTAGTTTCATGTCTTTTTCAACATACAGTGGTGTTTATTTAGTAAATGATGGTCCCATTGAATTGATTTCCTTCTCACCAAATCCCAAAATCAAGGTTTCAAAATGTTAATCTACAAACTGCTGGGTGATGTTATAGAGACTACGTCCATCTTTTATGTTAAATATCTGAGTAAAAACTGTATGGAACTGAGAAAGTGTGAGATGAACTACGTCTAAATGTCGTGTTTTTGCATGTGGACTCTTTATTGTTGTGTAAATGCAGCAGAAACACGACCGTCTGTATCAAAGATAAGATCAATACGCAGAATTGAGCTAAAGTGGCTCATTTAAATGGTCTTCTGTGACGCTAAGGTTGCGTCTCGCACTTTGAGCCGGCGGGATATGGAGGCAGCGACAGACGCTTCCCTCCCCCGGTGGAGCTCTTGGCCTTTAAAGAGTTAAACGTAATGAGATCCTGCAGCTATTAACAGTTTACGGAGATCTCCAACATCTGCTCCCAGCAGACCAACAGCAGTTGTCTCCCTCCCTTCTGTCCACGCACACCTGTCGCCGGGCCTCAGGACGCTCGCGTCGGCCTCGAGTTGCTCCCCGACTCTGAGCATGCGGAGGACTCGTAAGGGTTCGATAAATAACGCCGCACTTCAAATCCCCGGGAGTCCTCGCTGTGTGCAAGATGACTCGCCGGTGTCGAGTTAACGGCACCGTGCCGTTGTGTTTCTGTGGCTTTATTAGGACATTAAAGGGAACTCACAGTAGACCCAACCTGTGCAGCACTTGTTTTTGGCCGCCTCATTCGCTTCCCTGCACCTCTGGGATGTTAAATGTGTAATTAGGGAGTGATATGTGCAGCTGACTCCTCACAGTTACTCCTTCAGAGGCTATAAAGTCCTCCTGACTCTGCTGGTGTTGCGTCACTGCGAGCTGCGACATTGGAAGTCATCAAAAAGCCATCAAGACAGATTCCTGGACATTTTCTGCTCTGTGCAGCTCGAACTTGCAGGTTTAGTTCTCACTGTGGACAGGATAAGACCAAACAGAAGGCATCTGGTGGTCGAATCGGAACTTAAACGACAAAAACCTGCTTTAATGTCATCAAATCAGACCTTCACTTTTCTTTATTTTGTTTTTTTATCGCTTTTTTTAAAAGGATAGTTCCCCTAAATGACTAAAATAAACACTGTGTTTTTACAGTTACCTTATCTTTCTCTGCAAAACTTCACATTTGAATCACTCCTGCTTTATATAAGTGGTCGTTTTTAGGCTTTAAAGTCCAATTTACTCCACTAGTCACTGTTGGATGACCTCCGTTGTGCACAAAGCAAATTTTGTAGCTTTCAAAATTATTCACATTCTGATTAGATTTTTACCTTTTTCAAAATGGTTTTGTATTTTTGTGTAAAACTTGATCCACAACAGTGAAGCTGCAACCAGTAATTCATGAGCTGTTGAATACTGAATGATTTCGATTTTTTAAAGAGAGAACGTCTAACTTCTTAGATTCCAGCTCCTTAATTGTGCTCATTTTCTGGTTTCTTTGCTCCTCTGTGACAGTAAACTGAATATCCTTTGTGAAGTTTTCTGAGAACATAATCAGCAGTGAAAGTGATTCTGAGTTGCAGCTGTACATATACGCATTTGTCACTCGGCTGCACACGCTGTTCTCCATGACAAAGCTCACTTTAGTCCAAATTGAGATGTTCAGAGGCGATCGAGGCCCCATTAAGATGTTTCTCCCTCCCGTCACGTGGCTCAACCTCCGTTCCTTTAAGCTCCCATTATCCTAACAGAGTTATAACTTCAATGCAATATTGAATTATCTGGAACAAGCGAGCTTAAATTCATACACGGCTGGACATTTAGCGCACACCGCTCAGTGTTGCGTGATTATTAAGTCGTTCCCCTGCACGTCTTCATCCTCCCCGTCGGTTTAAAATCCAGTTAGCTAATGTGGCCTTCAGGGAGGTGAACGTGGAGGTCAGCCGCCATAGAACCGTGCTGCCGGGTGACGGGCGACTCGGTGACACGATGAGGCTTCTGGGGGGTCAGGGGTAACAGCTTCGGCCCATCCTGGTGTCAAAACCTCCACTGACCTCTTCACCGCTCTGCACACTGCAAGAAATGTCCATCTGAAGACAGAGCATGCAGTATTTATCAGTCAGGGTGAGTTTATGCGCAGATGAGACTCATTGTTTCTCCTAAAAACAGTGCAGGTGGATGAATTGTTGGGTGAAACTTCCCCACAGTGCCTCTTTTTGCTCTGAGAGATGCTTGCACTGAACATCCAGTCACATTATCCTCATTTAGGCTGATTGATGCTCCTAACTCTGTTATATTGCCACCTAATTTTTAAACACGATTATCCCCTTTTCTTGCTCCCTGCCACATGCTCGCAGCGGTTTCTGCGCAGATCAATTGTCCGGGGCGTTTCGTTTTATTCTTTGTTCCTTTTTATTAGTGTTCTTCGGGGCCGGTTGGCCGATGCCGCTCACGCTAACCACCATCTTGTTCTGTTTATGGTGTTTCTGTGAGAACGCAGTGTGCTGTGGAAGCTGCAGGAAACAATAAAAGATGCATCAGTTGGTTTTTGTGTAGTTTCAGGCAGCAAACGCTCAGAGAAAAAAACAGAAAATCGTACACGTTAGCAGAGGTTGCACGGACGATATCTCTTCAAACTGATTAAAATGAGATTCCAGCGTCACTGTTTACATGCTAAATGCAGTGATCTGGTGAGATGTGCATTTACAGGCTGCACAACTTTCCTTTGACAAGAGTGGTTCTTAGTAGAGCAGGAGCAAGGTGTGTTTTCAAACCTTCTTGGGAAAATTTAGTTCATTTAAGAGGGAAAAAAATGACCCAGATGGACCTATGAGTGTCTGCAAAGCAATTTTTGCATTTAATTAATGAAAGTTTAAAGCAAATATCAGTTCAGGAAAGTTGTTCTCGTGGAGTTTTATCAGTCAGGAGTGGAACCTGCAGAGAAAGATGGATTTTTGGTTATTTTTCATTTTGATAAAGAAATCTCATGGTTCATGTAAATACTGCTTCACTTTTTAATACTTTTTAATTGTAAAATTTAAAACAATTTACTGTTATTTTACCTGTTTTGTTACATAAAGCTAAAAACACAGGGGAAAAAGTATTAATTTACATGTTATAAATTTAAAAATACTAGGCCAAAACTGTAGATAATATTGTCATTATTTTTATTTATTTGTATTTTTTTTACAAATGGTAATTCATTCTTTTATAACATATTTCTGTTCTTCTACTGTTGCTTACACTTATTTACAATATTTAAATCAGCCAAAAGAAAAAAAAATTACTGTTATTTGGATAAAAAAAAACACATGAAGAAATTAAAAATTAAAAATAATAATAAATAAACACATAAATGAATAAAT